TATGTATATTAGCTGCTATTCTTCTAGAAAGAAGGCTTTCACTACCACTTCTTGGATTTTTTTTTTTTTTTTTTGGTATGGTTTACATTGCATCGTCATTCCTTCTGATGTTCAAACTGTCCCAAATTAAGCTAGTTAGAGAAACACATTCATTTTCAAAAATATGAAAATGCTAAATTTTATTATACCATAATCAATCTGTAAGAGTTTCAAAGTAATATGACGGTTTTATCACTTATATTTATCATTGTTACTATTATACTTTAGTAATTTATTTGGATCATGCCAAGGAAAGGAATGGATATCCTTAATCAATTCAAGTCGATCATGGCAGTTTTCTGAAGTAACACTGCATAAGTGTTTCACAAACCACGCATAAAGATCAGTCACATTGTTATATAAATGAATCTGATACTTTGCTGTCAAATCTCAGGTATGATTTTGAAAGTACAGTGCCAAATTAAACACTCTAAAATTGCCTTCATATTTTTTTCTTAACTTTTGATTTTAATTTGTTTTGAAACTTCCACTTCAGTACTGCCTAGCTATATAACCACATCAAATACAAATTTGAGACTAGAGCATCAAAATTAACATCTTAAAATTGTCATCATGGTGATACTGAAATTTATGATTTTTTTTAAAACTTTCATTTTAACTATGTCTTATTTAGAACTCTAGCTAGTATTAGCTACTGAATTTTGATTATTCATTTAACATATGAATAGCAAAATTAGAAACCTAACACTGCCTTAATTTTGGTACTAAGTTTTGTATTTTGAAATTTTTATTTTAACTCTGCCAAGGTTTTTTCTGAGATGAGCAATCACTTCATAATTAGTTTATGATTATTGAGATAATGGTTTTATTACTGATTCATTTATATAACAAAAATTATTTTATATGTTTTTATATGATGAGGACATTGATTTCTTAAAAGCCAGATCTTGTGTATTTTATGAAATAGTATAAAACTTGGAGCATATTCAATAAAATATAGCCTCTTTTATTTTCAGTGTTACTTCACATTTCTTTTTTATTTCACTTATTTGATTTTTTCTCTCCTTACAGCATCAATATTATTTCACATTTCTGTAGTATGATTGACTTTACAATAGAAATTGCTATCCCTGCTGGAATGTTAGAGCCATGAACAGGAATCTCTTACTCTTTGTCCTCTTGTATTTTAAGGACCTGAAAGGGTACCTGTGACATAACAGACACTCAATAAATATTTGCTGAATGGCTATTTGATAAATTGAGTAAAACAACATAGAACTGTATCCCAAAAAGAGTAACCATGAACAAAGCAGTCTTCACTCAGAAAGGTCATTATTTTTAGATTTTTTTTCTAATACTAATACTGTTTTGTTCACTTTCCATATTTGATAACAATTAACAGAGCAAGAAGAATTTTAGAGAGACTCCTATCAGTGATGTTACGTGATGGATGCCTTCTCCTGGCATTGTTTCTGAGTGCTTTTATCCTGTCCTCTGAATTTTTTCCAATAGATTCTTCTGCATTTGAATGAATTGTATTTATTTCTTGAGATATGGTCCTTATATAAAAGTAATCCAGGAAGAGCTAGACCTACAATTTTTAAAAATAAAGCAGCTTACCAATGTAAAGAAATGTAAAAAACATTTTCAGAATTATTAAATACGTTTAAAGAGAGAGAAGAGGTAGATCAACATGTTATTAATTTCTTTTGTGCTAGAAAAGATTAGTGCGGGAGTGGCCAAGATGGCCAACTAGAAGCAGCTGATGTGTGTGATTCTCACAGGGAGAAACGAAAGGGGTAAGTAAACACAGCATCTTCAACTGAAACATTAAGGTATTTGCATTGGAACTAATCAAGGAAACAACTCAACCCACAGAGAACAGAGAAAATCAAGGCAGGAAGACAGCCCACCAGGGAGAGACATGGAGTAAAGTGAAGCTCTCTTTCCCAGAGAAGTGGTGAGTGAATGTGTAGCCCTGGGAATCCACACTGCTCTCACAGATCTTTGCAACCCTCAGGTCAGGAGATCACTTCTGAACTACTCCATCAGGGCCTCCAGTGTGACATGCACAGCTATGTGGAGTCTCAGCAGAGCAGCCGCTCAGGCATGCATGGAGATTCAAGAGCCTTAGATACTCCAGTTTTCTGGATGTTCAGGCAAAAGTAGCTGCGACTCTAGCCAAGCTGAAGGATAGACCCCCATACATACCCCAGGAAAGAGGTTGAATCCAGAGAGATCAGCAGACAGGATCTACAGGCCTCACTTCTGCAGCACCTCACAGGATAAGACACACTGGCTTGGAGTTCTAGCTAGCCACCAGTAGCAACACTGTGCCTCCCAGGTACAGAGCTCCCAGGAGGAGGGACAGGCTGCCATCTCTGCTGTTTGGACAACTTAGCCATTATGGAATTTGGGCTTTGGAGAGTCCGATCTAACCAAGGGCAAAAGGGATTCCCCAGCACAGCACAGCTGCTCTATCAAAATGTGGCCAGACTGCTTCTTTAAGTAGGTGCCTGATCCCATTTATCCTCACCAGGTGGAACCCTTCAACTGGGGCCTCCAGGCACACCTGCCAGTGTTCTCAAGCTGACAGAGATTTGAAAACTCCCTGGGACAGAGCTCCCAGAGGGAGTGGCAGGCTGCCATCTTTGTTGTTTGGGCAACCTGGCTTTCCAGCCTTCAGGCTTTGGAGAGCTTAAGCTGACCAGGAGTGGAAGGGGTACCCCAGCACAGAACAGTTGCCCTACAAAAATGTGACCAAAGTGCTTTTTTTAGCAGGTCCCAATCCCATTCCTCCCAACGGGGTACAGCCTCCCAACTGGAGGTCTCTGGCTACACCAAATGGTGTTCTCTGACTGACAGAGGTTTCGGCAAAGGTCCCAGAGAGAGGAGCAGGCCACCATCTTTGATATTTGAGCTACTTAGCCATTCCAGTCTTTGGGCTTCAGGGTGTCTGAGGCGATTCTGGACTAAAGCATACCCCCAGGATGGCACAACTGCTCTTCGACAATGGGGCCAGAATACCTTTGAAAGCAGGTTCCTGATCCCATTCCCCCTGATTGGGTGAGGTCTCCCAACTAGAGTCTTCAGCCATGTCCTACAGATGTGTTCGAGCCAGCAGCAGGCCTGTATCTCCCAGGGACAGAGCTCCCAGAGAGAGGGGAAGACTGCCATCTTTGCTGTTTCACAGCTTTCACTAGTGATACCTCCAGGTACTGGAAAATCTAAAGGGACTGGGGACTGGAGCAAGCCCCCAGCACACTACAGCAGGTCTATGGAAAAGTGGAAAGACTGTTACGTGGGTGCCCACTCCCATATCTCCTCAATGAGCAAGTCTTCCAGGCCTGGACCTGTAGCCACACCCCACCAGAGATATCAAGCCAATAGAAACTCAGCAACTCCCTGGACAGAGCCACCAGAGACAACTGACAGCCTCTCCACCACTACCTTGGCAGTGGAACTGTCCTTGCTACCCTCGGACTAACAAAGGAGCAAGGACCCTAAGTGCCTTATCCACACCTCCAATAAGCAGCAGTTGACCCAAGGAGAGGAGGCCAGTCCATCTCCCACACATCCCACCCTACCCCCTGACTGCTTGTCACCAGACAGGGAGCCCCTGGCTTGGGCCCACAGCACAGACTCTCCATCTGGGCTGACTGCACTGAGTGATTGCTGACCCATATCTCTCTGGGGTGGAGCCCCCAGGAAACAAGCAAAGTGGTAGAGCAGCAAGCCAGCTGATGTGGATGGAGCCCACAGGGTTTAGTGCAGGAACATCTATAGCAGAGCATGGAGAGGGATAGCCATCCCTCTAGGTTTGACTTGCTCCCATTAGAGACTTTGGCCCTAGGAGAATTTTCAGACCTGATTTCTGCAGAGTGGTCTTGCACATCAGACAGGGTTGGTCCAACCTGAGTATTTCTTGGTCTGCTGGCCTCTTCCAGGGCCCCAGCCTGGCCATGCCTACTTTGAGGGACATCTTATGTGCTGTGGGGGCCCACAGAATAGCTTCTGCACAAGTGAGCCATGTCTGATCAGTGGAGAGCTCCAGCAAGATAGCCCCTAGTGCCACGCACCAGACCGGGTGTTCACTCCCCATGCTGCAGCTTCCCCTGAGCCTGTGGCAACTCCCCACATCATTTTGCAGGCACATGTTTGCACAACTGGGTTTTGCTTTACTTACCCCACCAGCATACAGGAGTGAAGTATGCCCCTCAACCCCCACCAACCACCATTGCAGACAGAACCTTAGCAGCATACAGCCAGCAAGCCTTGCCACCACCAGTGCCTCACTCTTCCAGTAATGCTGCATGGAGAGTAGAGGATCTTCCTACACCCTAAGCAATCCCTCCTGCTTGCGGGATACCAAGAAAGCACTCAGGCCTGCACTGGCCAGCGCCTCAAACCAACATTACCTCCAGTGCAAAAGTACACAGAGTCTATAGCAAGAGCCTCAAACCAAACCAACACCACCCCCAAACCAACACCACTTACCAAACCAACACCACCTCCCCAAACCAACACCAGCCCCAAACCAACACCACCTCCACTGCAAAAGCACACAGAGTCTATAGCAGAAGCCTCCTGTTCCCCCCAAAATTCCTTGCCTCCACTGGCATAGTGAATGCCCACAGGGAGGCAGGCACCCCTGAATTCACTAGTACTTGGCTGCAGCTGCCATACCTTGGTCCCCCCAGCAAAGTAGACTCCAAACCTCAAGGAACCAGAGAACAAAGTTGGGGCCCAATACAGGTCAGCCAAAGTTAGAGCACATAGTCTAGGAGTTGAGAGCTGAACGATGGCCCCCTAAAATCTTCCAGATACAAAGCCAGTTGGCTGAATCTACTTTATACCACAATCAAACCCTCAAGGTCATTAAATAGAATAAAAGAAAAAAAATCCAAATGTCAGCAACCTCAAAGATTGAAGGTAGATAAGCCCACAAAGATGAGACAGAATCAGCACAAGAACAATGAAAACTTAAAAAGCCAGAATACCTTCTTTCCTCCAAAGGACAACATCATCTTTCTGACAAATGTTCAGTACCAGGCTGAGGCTGAGATGGCTGAAATGATAGAAGCAGAATTCGGAATATGGATAGGAATGAAGTTCACAGAAGTACAGGAGTATGTTGTAACAAAATGCAAAAGAACTAAAAATTATAATAAAACATTGAAAAAGCTTACAGATAAAATAGCTAGAATACTGAAGAATGTAACTGACCTGATAGAGCTGAAAACACACTACAAAAATTTGTTTTTTTGTTTTTGAGAAGGAGTCGCAACTCACCCCGGCTGGAATGCAGTGGCATGGTCTTGGCTCACTGCAACCTTCATCTCCCAGGTTCAAGTGATTTTCCTGCCTCAGCCTTCCAAGTAGCTGGGATTATAGGCATGCACCACCATGCCCAGATATGGTTTTATTTTGTTTTGTTTTGTATTTTTAGTAGAGGTAGGGTTTCACCACATTAGCCAGGCTGGTCTCAAACTCCTGACCTCAAATGATCCACCCACCTCAGCCTCCCAAAGTGCTGGGGTTACAGGCATGAACCACCACTCCTGTCCCCAAAAATTTCATAATGTAATCACAAGTATTAATAACAGAATAGACCAAGTGAAGGAAAGAATTTCCGAGCTTGAAGACTACATTTCCAAAATAAGACAAGCAGACAAGAATAGAGAAAAAATGTATAAAAATGAATAAACAAAACCTCTGAGAAATATAGAATTATGTAGAGACCACATCTGCAATTCATTGGTGTACCTGAAAAAGATGGAAGATAATGGAACTAACTTGGAAAACGTATTTCAAGACAACATTGATGGGAACTTCCCCATCCTAGCCAGAGAGGCCAACATTCAAGTTCAGGAAATGCAAAGAACTCCAGTAAGATACTCCAGAATAAGATCATCCCCAAGACACATAATCATCAGATTCTCTAAGGTCAAAATGAAAGAAAAATGTTAAAGGCAGCTAGAGAGAAAGGCCAGGTCACAAAAGGAACCCTATCAGACTAACAGCAGGCCTCTCAGCTGAAACCCTACAAGCCAGAAGTGATTGGAGGCCCACATTCAATGTTCTTAAAGAAAAGAAATTCCAACCCAGAATTTTGTATATGGCCAAACTAAGTTTCTTTCATAACTGAAGGGAAAAAAAAAGATTCTTTGCAGACAAGCAAATGCTGAAGGAATTAGTTACTACCAGACCTGCCTTACAAGAGCTCCTGAAAGAGGCACTAAATGTGGAAAGGAAAGACCATTACCAGCCACTACAAAAACACACTGAAGTACACAAATCAGTAACACATAAACAAGTCTGCAAAACAACCAGCTAGCAATTATGATGACAGGATGAAATCCACACGTATCAACACTAATTTTAAATGTAAATAGGCTAAATGTACCAATGAGAAGACACAGAGTGGCAAGCTGGATGAACAGCCAAGACCCATTGGTATGCTATCTTCAAGAGATTCATCTCACATGCAATGAGATAGGCTCAAAATAAGGGGATGGAGAAAAATATACCAAGCAAATGGAAATCAGAAAAAGCAGGGTTCCAATCCTGGTTTCTGACAAAACAAACTTTAAACCAACAAAAATCAAAAAAGACAAAGAAGGGCATTACATAATGGTAAAGTGTTCAATTCAACAAGAAAATCTAGCAATCCTAAATATATACGCACCCAACATAGGAACACCCAGAAACATAATCATGTTCTCACAGACCTTCAAAAAGACTTAGACTCCCACACAATAATTGTGGGAGACTTTAACACCCCAATGACAATATTAGACAGATCATCAAGACAAAAAATTAACAAATATATTCAGGACCTGAACTCAGCACTGGATCAAATGGACCTGATAGATATATATAAAACTCGCTAGTGAAAAACAACAGAATATACATTCTTCTCATTACCACATGACACATACTCTAAAATTGATCACATAATTGGAATTAAAATACTCCTCAACAAATGCAAAAGAACTGAAATCATAACAAAGAGTCTCCCGGACCACAATGCAATCAAATTAGAGATCAAGACTAAGAAATCCACTCAAAACTATACAATTGCATGGAAAGTGAATCACCTGCTCCTGAATGACTTGAGTAAATAATTAAATTAAGGCAGAAATCCAGAAGTTTTTTGAAACTAATGAGAACAAAAGATGTGACATACCAGAATCTCAGGGACAAAGCTTAAGCAGTGTTAAAAGGAAAATTTATAGCACTAAATGCCTGCCTACATCAGAAAGTTAGAAAGATCTCAAGTTAGCAACCTAGCATCACAACTAAAAAACTAGAGAACCAAGAGCAAACAAATCCCAAAGCTAGCAAAAGACAAGAAATAACAAAATTCAGAGCTGAACTGAAGGAGACAGAGACACAAAAGCATTCAAAAGATCTACAGATCCAGGAGGCGGTTTTGTGAAAAAATTAATTAAATAGGTATACCACTAGCTAGATGAATAAAGAAGAAAAGAGAGAAGATTCAAATAAACACAATCAGAAATGATGAGGGGAATATTACCATTGACCCCACAGACATAATATTTCCTGATGGTTATTTGGAAATAACCATCAGGAAATATTATGAACACCTCTATGCATGCAAACTAGAATATATAGAAGAAATTGACAAATTCCTGGAAACATACACCCTCCAAACACTAACCAGAAAGAAACTGAATCCCTGAATAGACCAATAAGGAGTTCTGAAACTGAGGCAGTAATTAGTAGCCTACCAACCAAAAAACACCCAGGACCATATGTATTCACAGTGAAAACTACTAGATGTATAAAGAAGAGCTGGTGCCATTCCTACTGAAATTATTCCAAAAAAAATGAAGAGGAGGGACTCCTCCCTAATTTATTCTATGAGCCCGGCATCATCCTAGTACTGACACCTGATAGAGATACAACAAAAAAGGAATACTTCAGGCCAATATCCTTGATGAACACTGATGCAAAAATCCTCAACAAAATACTGGCAAACTTAATCCAGCAACACCTTAAAAAGCTTATCCAACATGATCAAGTATACTTTATCCCTGGGATGCAAAATTGACTCAGCATGTGCAAATCAATGTATATTAATCATCACATAAACAGAACTAAAACAAAAACCACATGATTACTTCAATAGATGCAGAAAAGGACCTCAATAAAGTTCAACATTCATTCATGTTAAAAAAAAAAAAAAGGTTCAATAAACCAGGTATTGAAGGAATGTATCTCAAAATAATAAGAGCCATCTATGACAAACCCACAGCCAACATCATATTGAATGAGTAAAAGCTGGAAGCATTCCTCTTGAAAACTGGCACAAGACAAATATGCCCTCTCTCACCACTTCTATTCCACATAGTACTGAATATTCTGGGCAGGGCAATCAGGCAAGAGAAAGAAATAAAGGCATCCAAACAGAAAGAGAGGAAGTCAAACTATCTTTGTTTGCAGATGTCATGATCCTATATCTAGAAGACCCCATTGTCTCAGCCCAAAAGCTCCTTGCTGATAAACAACTTCAGCAAAGTCACAGGATACAAAATCAATCTGCAAAAATTACTGGAATTCCTATACATTAACAGCAGTCAAGCCCAGAACCAAATCAGGTACAAATTTTCATTCAAAACTGCCAGAAAAAGAATAAAATAGCCGGGCGCGGTGGCTCACACCTGTAATCCCAGTACTTTGGGAGGCCGAGGCAGGTGGATCACAAGGTCAAGAGATCAAGACCATCCTGGCCAACATAGTGAAACCGTCTCTACTAAAATATAAAATATTAGCTGGGCATGGTGGCACGCATCTGTAGTCCCAGCTACTCAGGAGGCTGAGGCAGGAGAATTGCTTGAACCCAGGAGGCGGAGGTTGCAGTGAGCGGAGATCGTGCCACTGCACTCCAGCCTGGCACCTGGCGACAGAACAAGACCCGGCCAAAAAAAAAAAAAAGGAATAAAATACCTAGGAATATAGCTAACCAGGGAAGTGAAAAATCTCCATAAGGAGAACTATAAACTACTGCTCAAGGAAATCAGAGATAATATAAACAAATGGCAAAACATTCCATGCTCATGTATAGGAAGAATCAGTATCGTGAAAATGGCCATACTGCCCAAAGCAATTTATAAATTCAAAGCTCTATATATTAAACTACCATTGAAATTCTTCATAGAACTAGGAAAAAGAATTTTAAAGTTCATATGGAACCAAAAAAGAGCCCTAATATCCAAGGCAATCCTAAGCAAAAAGAACAAAGCTGAAGGCATCACATTACCTGACTTCAAACTATACTACAGGGCTACAGCAACCAAAACAACATGGTACTGGTAATAAATAAATAAAAATAAATTTATAAAAATAAAAAACAAACAGACACAGACCAATGGACCAGAATAGAGAATCCAGAAATACAAAAACAAGCAATGGAGAACAGATTCCCTATTAAACAAATGGTGCTGGGATAACTGGCTAGCTATATACAGTAAATTGCATCTGGACCCCTTCTTTATACCATATACAAAAATTAACTCAAGATACAGTAAAGACTTAAATGTAAAACCCAAAACTATTAAAACCCTGGAAGACAATCTAGGCAATGCCATTCAGAACATAGGACAGGCAAAGATTTCATGGTGAAGACACAGAAACAGTTGCATCAAAAGCAAAAATTGACAAATGGAATCTAATTAAACTAAAGAGCTTCTGTACAGCAAAAGAAACTATCAGTAGAGTAAAAAGACAGCTTACGGAATGGGAGGAAATTTTTTCAAACTATGCATCTGACAAAGGTCTAATATCCAATATTTTTAAGGAACTTAAACAAATTTACAAGAATAAAACAACCCCATTAAAAAATGGGCAAAGGACATGAACAGACACTTTTCAAAAGAAGACATACATGTGGGCAACAATCACACGAAGAAAAGCTCAACATCACTGATCATTAGAAAAATGCAAATCAAAGCCACAATGAGATACTATCTCACACAAGTCAGAATGGCTATTATTAAAAACTTGAGCCAGGCGCGGTGGCTCACGCCTGTAATCCCAGCACTT